GAAGACGAAGCTGGAGCTATGGCGCCACAGGTAAGTCTCCCTGGCCTCCGCCAACCATCTCTCTCTCTCCAACGCTACTCTAGCTCCTACTAGCGCCCAGCGTTGAAGACTACTCCTAACGCTACTACTACTGCAGTGCTCCTCCAAAGTGCTGCTTCCGAATCCTGAAGACTGCCTCCTGCCTCCTGCACGTGAAGTGCCCGGGAAGTCCCTATGAACTACCTGCAGCCTGCAGGGCAGGCCAGTCTTATATAGTGCTGGCCCATCCAGGAGGCTGCTCTTGCCAATGCCAAAACGTGCCAGACCCTGGCGTGGAAGCTCAAACAAAGGTTGTCTTGAAAACAGGCCCGAAATGGCCTGTGCTAAAACCCTGGTCTGGTGGTTTCAGGACAGGTCGATCTTATAAGGGCCTGAAAATGGCCCTCCGTTTCAGGCTGAAAAGACTCAGGGCCTGGAGGGCCCTGTTTTAGGCTGAAACGACACACGGCCTGTAGGCCCTTGTTTTCAGGCTTTCAGGCTGAAACGACRCAGGGCCTGTAGGCCCTTGTTTTCAGGCTTTCAGGCTGAAACGACACGGGGCCTGAAAATGGCCCTTGTTTGTAGGCGCAGCATGTTGCAGGCGCAGCATGTAACACCATCAGACATACACATGTTCTGGGCAGAGGCCCCCAGCAAGCTGAGTGCCCGCCCTGAGTGAAGGCGGGCCTGAATATTCTTCAGAGGCCAAGATTTGACATTTTCCATATGTGGGTATTCAGGCTCTTGCAGCACGCCAGTTGGTTGAGTGGACGCGTGAGCCTCGCTAAGCTGCGTCGTACAGGTTGCCCAGGCCTTGGAAGTTGCCCCTGGGCACGTACACACAAAGCAGGGCCGATACATCTTCAAGTGGCCACAGGCCTACGCAAAAGCAGTACTATCGACGTACCTACCCCGGGGTCCTATGCAAATGCAGCAAACGGCCCAAGTCTGGAGACTGAGGCCGTGCCCAACTGTAAAGGGCCCAGGCCCTCAACTGTAGTCTCGGGTCTGGGCGCAGGTACTGGGGCCCAACAGGAAGCTACTGGAAGCTTCCAGCCAGGCCACATGCAGCCACGCAGGGGCTGCCACTTCCATATAGAAAGAAGAGCAGCCAGGGCCTGAACATTCTGGCCCCCGTAGGCAATGCGGTCACGCTGCTGCGTTGAGGCCAGAGCGCGTGCGGGCGCGTGAGTGGTGAAGTGGGGCGCTGCAGGGCAGCGGAGCGCTAAGCAGCCATAGCCGGGCTGCAGGGCGCTAGGGGGTAAGAGGGTGATCGGTGGTCTTCAGGAAGGAGGCGAGTGTGTGTGGACAGGGTCTGATGAGGGGAAGCGAGATACGTACCTGGTACATGTAAGAGGTTGTCTATGGTGTTGACGTCATGTACATTGGTCTTCGAGAGTCGAAGTGAGCCTGTTGCGAGAATGCTGATGTAGGTAGGATAGTCAGGTAGTGTAGGCTGGGTGCTGGGCGCCAGACAGAGGGGAGCGACTTTGGATATTGTGTTGGTGTGGCCTGAGGGCTTGAACATTGGTTCATTACTTCGTTGTATTGCTCTTATTTGGATGGGAACTCGGTGCAATTATGCTCCCCGCTTGTACACAACTACCTGGACATCTGTGTGATTTCGCAACTTGGTTTTCTGTATATCGTTCCCACTCATTTTGCTTGCAGCGCTCTGAATGATGGTCAGAAAATCTGAAAATTTAGGATCCCATAGATTACATTGTGATCTTTCCTGGAAAAATATCAAAAAAAAAATCATTTAGACCCATGGTAACCGCCCGCACGTCCGGACCGGGTTCCAGACAGTCCGGTGTCCTGTGTCCAGTCCCCATGTCCGGATGGAGGCCCCTGGGGCAAAACTCAAAAAAAAAAAAGGGGCGGCCCAGGACGTTTGTCGGGTCCTAGCTGCCCCTCGAAAAATAACGGGGTGATTTTTAAGTGTCCTTTCACCCCACCGGACATGGCCTAGAGGTCCAGACACAAGACACTGCAGGTTTTTGAGGTGGCGGGTTTCGCACAGGCA